GACAGTATCCACACAACAGTCATCGCAGCCAATGCATGTGACTGTACGACCAGGATACTTTGCCCTGACCCGTGTGATCCTCCCACTGGGACCAGTTGGGAACCACAGGGGCAGGTCCGGTTACCGCTCGAGGCAAATGTGTGAGAGCTTGAGTGAGCGGCATAACAACTGTTTTCAACGTCTCTCTGCCAAGTCACTTTTACACTGTAGTGGTGGTAGTGAGGGTGTTGGTAGTAGTAGTAGCAGTAGTAGTAGTAGCAGAAGCAGCAGTATAGAAGCAGTATTAGCAGTAGTAGAAGAAGTAATGGTGGGGAATGGTAGTAGTAGTAGCAGCAATAGTGGTAGCAGAAGTAGGAGTAGCAGTAGGAGGAGGCCTGGGAATAGTCTGGTTTGAATATGTCAGCAGGTTTCTTAGTCTTATCATTTCACAATAGTAGCAGTAAAGGTTTGCATGGTCAGCGCTGGACACTGGTCTATCCTTACAATAGTAGAAGTAGAAGTACCAGCAGTAAAATACATTTACACATACACTATACAAAAGGAAAATTAGCCAAATCAATTGGTGTGTTACATAAAGTGAAATACTTTCTTACCCACACAGCATTAATTACCTTATATAATACAATGATTATACCATATCTAACCTATTGTGTCGAAATTTGGGGGACAACTTTTAAAACATATACACAGCCAATATTTATTTTACAAAAAAGAGCCCTAAAAATAGTGAACAACAAAAGATATCGAGACTCATCAAATCCTGTTTTTTAGAGTGTAAGGTGTTAAAATTTTATGATATAGTGGATTATAATATTTTTCAGATATTGTATAAAGCAAATTGCAAATCATTACCCGCAAACATTCAAGAGAACTTTGAAAAAAGACAAAGTCAGTACAATCTGAAAGGAACTGATATCTTTAAAAAACCTAGATTCAGAACAAAAGTCATGGAAAGAACAGTCTCAGTGAAAGGAATCAACTTGTGGAACGCACTTAACAAAGACATTAAAGAGTCAAAAAACATAATAGTTTTTAAGAAACAAATCAAAACTACTATATTCAGGACATATGAGAGTGTTACATGAGAATAAAGTGTAAGGTAAAGTATTAAGGTATGTATTATGTAATATATGTGTAAATAATGTAATTTGTTTAAACTGTAAAAGGGATGTGTAAAAATCATTTGGAGCAGTTAAATCTTTTAGATGCAATGGACAACTCTTAACCATGAATAGCACATGACCAAGATCTATAGTGCAGGAAAACAAGTTGTCATGTTACAATACAATACAATACAATTTATTCTTGTATAGCCCTAGGTCACAACAGAAGTCATCTCAGAGGACTTAACAAAACCATTGAAATCACCAACACAGGTCAGAAAATCAACAGTTAAAACACATGAAGAATACAGTATAAAGCACACACAGTGTGACACATGTTGTGATTGCCATTACTGTTTAAACAGATGCAAGTAAATCAGAGCAGACGAGATATGGTTGGATTGGCGGGCTCCCTTTTGCCAAGCGGCCTCAACACCTCGTTTTTAACGCACCACACAGCAAGAATATACAGCGCAAATTTTCCTACATTTCCATTGGTCAGGGAGGTTGGGAGTGGGGCGGGTTGAGTGGGGGCTATTACCTTCTCTCGACTGGCTCATTCTACCCACTGTTTTTAATGCACTGCACTATGTAGGGTCTACATACATAACCATGTTAACATTAAATAAACAGCTTTGGGTAAAAATGGCAACAAGTGACAAGTGACAACAAGACCTAAGAACATCATTGGTGCGAAATCAGCATTTAAAATTACTATTCATGGAGACGAGTGTAAATTGTATATCTGAGAGAAATATGCCTGTATATCATTTGAACTCCTGTAAAGTGAAAAGTTTGTAACAAGGGGTAGGAAGCATAAGTTTCACTTCTACCTACTCCTTTTCGAATTATGCATATATATGTTTCTTCTTTTTGTTTTGTTTTGTATTGCGCATGTAATTCGAAATAAACACTACTACTACATTTATCCTGTTAGGACTACTGCTACTGTAGTGACTACTAATATTAGTGCAGCTATTGCTACTACTACTGCTGCTACTGCTACTGTGTGCCACTGCTATTGCTGATGCTGCTACTACTACTACTACTACTACCCCTGCTTCTACTACTACTACTAGTACTACTGAAAACTAATCAAATCTAAGTAAATGCTTGAATTAAATATTTTTTAAATCTTGCTGCAGGTAGATTTGTTAATAGAACGAAACATTATTCTGTTTTACTCCGACAAAGAATTTGAGTGTCTATTGAAAAAAAACAATACATTTCCTTGTCCCATTGGCAAATCTTACTTACTTTCTGTATATTTTTGCAGTGTGCTTCTAATACAACCACAAGCTGCTCCAACAAGGATTCTCATTCCTTTTTAATACTTTTTTTTTTTTTTGCAACAGTAAAATAATGTTACACAGAAAGCCTCTAGCCTGGCTCTGCCAGACCCTTGTAGTTCCGCCATGCTCCACCAGAGGCGTTTGGCTGAACCACATGGGTCTGGTATCGAGCCCATAGCGAACGCCTTCCCCAGATTATTTTTTAATCGACCAATCAGGATTGCTGGTGTTACGTGGGGTTTGCACTGCCTTCTCAAGCTTCTCTGATGCAGCATCGAGAGGAATCCAAGATGGCGGACGTAAAGTCCGCGAATCTTTTTAAAAGAGTAAATACGATCGAATTAAGACACGGAGGTCACTTTTAATGCAATTTGAGGCGAGATGTTGATGGTTCTATGTTGATATATGTGTGTTTTAAGAGTCAAATGTTCCTGTAAAGTTTGGTTGAAGCCAGTGGGGGCGGGTCCCAGCTCAAAAGTGGCCAAAATGACGTGTGCTGACATACTTGCAATACCACCCCGGGCCGATGGGGGTGGACCCAGAAGTAGAATTAGCCAATGCTAACATATAGCATTGGCAGACCTCTCGAAAACGTCTTTACAGGATGGACCAAAAGCTGGCTCTTGGCCCAAAGCTCCGTTCCACATGTGTGTCAATGCTGAGGGGGGTGGATTTTTTTGGTCCACTCTAGTTTACTCGCTGTGAATTTTTTAAGTCTCTCGTTCAAATGAATGGAGTTAAGCCAGCTGATGCATGCGCAGATGCGTTTTTTCACAATTTTCATGTGGGCGGGACCACTCGTGGCCATTTTGGATTGCTCCAGTAGAGCACATTTTTTGGCCCATTAGTTAGAACGGCAGAGATGGCGTAACTCTGTCCGTTAATATATACAGTCTATGGTTGAAGCACTGGTTCAGTGTTTCTGTTTACACACTATGCAGCAGGGTTGCCAGGTTTGGTGGTTCCCGCATATTTTTTTCCAAGAGACTTGTAGGTATTTTAAATAAACAGAAAGACAATAAACAGAATCATGATAGTCCAAGTTGATTACATTAAGTTTTTAGCCAAAAAATCATTCTGAGTGTTTTTTTTTTTTTTTTGGGGTATTCTCGTGGATTTTGGGTTGGAAAATCTTGCTGGGATTTGGCAACCTGTGGGAGCCGTGTGCTTCGATGTGAGTGGTTGAAAGCAGACTTCATTCAAGATAACGGACAAGTGGTCTATCCAATCACATACAAGGATTTTTTTACGAGGCCCTGCCTTCTGAAATCCAACCACTATGGCTCAGTCCCGGACTCGTGTGAAGTGCAGCGAACTACATGGGTCTGGCGAGAGTCAGGCTAGAAAGCCTCTGCATTAACGCTGAATAAATCTTCATCCACATAACGGTCTGTTCCGCAGAATGGCTTTTGCAGAGACTAAATTTCAGTGTTATCATGGAGTACATATTGTTTGTACTTCTCAGTCTGCAGATAGGACGCCTGAATATAACATCATTCTGAACAGCAAGCATTTGTATATGAATTTGTGTATTTGTATAGATATTTGTCACTAGAAAGAAGTTTTGTAAAAAAAAAAAAAAAAAAAAGATTCTCAACAAATCAGACCGTCTGCAACTTATAACTGTATTTTTTCCTATGTAAAAGAGCCCCGTGAGTCTCTATTTGACTCTTTGTGCTGAGAGCGGATTGGCTGAGTGAGGGTGCTCTTCTCTTTCTCACTCTTTTGTTTAAAAAACCTGATTTAAAGTGACATGTGATAGAGGCCAAAACATGCATGTGAAAACTAGTGATAGAACCAACTAGTATGTATTTTATGACCAATTTTTGAGGATCGAAAGTTAGGTACCTCAGCTTTAAGACTTTATTGACCTCATGATGGAAAAATTTACAAGCCATGTTAGGGTTACTACTACTGCTACTACTACTACTGCAGCTATACTTATACTGCTGCTGCTACTGCCACTACTACTACTACTTCTGCCACTGCTGCTACTGCTGCTTCTTCTACTACTACTACTACTATTATTGATACTGCTACTGACACTACTACTGCTACTATACTGCTGCTGCTGGTAATATCACTGCTACTGCTACTGCTGCTGCAGCCAATTTCTTGAGGATTGAAAGTTAGGTATTGCAGCTTTAAACACGACCTCAAAGGGTAAACGTGATCACAGATTTTTTATAGTGAGGTATGGCTTTAAACCGTGCTGCGCTGTGATTGGTCCAACCCTCCGGTCAGCTGAGCGCACCATATAAAAACCTCTCAGCCTGAGCAGAGAGTGTGTACGCGTCTGTCACTGTGAACGTGTGTGTGCGCGCGCTTATTCATGGGAACACGGCTCATCTAGCACACTTTAGGCGTGTTTGAGGTACGTTAGTGAATGAATCTGAAGAGTTTGAAGGTTTGGGGAGGACGTTGTTTTGGACGTGTGCGTCTCGGAACACCTGTCTGTTTGAATGTCGCTGTGTCAGTTCAGTTGCTGTTGTTGTTGTTGTTGTTGACGCCAGCGCTGCTACTTTTGTCCGCAGACAGCTTTGTAAACACAGAACGATCTACTCCCTCCCAATAAAAGAAAGAAAAAAAAAATCCTGCTGGCACGATGGTCGCCACAAGCACTCTGAAGACGAAGAGCGGGGACTGCATCTCGGAGCTGGTGGAGCGGCGCTGTGACCAGGCGTGCATAGAGAAAGGTGCGTTCTTTGATCAATCAAGTTTATTTACAAATCACAATTCATGCAGTGCAACCCAAAGTGCTTTACAAAGACATCACATTATAACATTGGCATTACATTGAGGTAAAACAATAATACAATGAAAAAAAAAAACACTGAATGTGAGAATTAAAACTGTGTTAAAACCCAATAAATGAAATGAAAATTAAACTTAAACAATGCCAGAAACGAGCTACTTCAAAGTGCTGTGGTTTTGCACAGAGGACTGGTACTGGAGCAGTGCACTTGTTTGTGTCTGGGGTGCTGCAGCAGAGCAGCAGAGCAGCAGGGAGGGGTGGGATGAAGTCATACTTTAGCTGCACAGCATCAATCAGGGGTGTCCAAACTAAGGCCCGCGCACCAAATGGGGTCCTCTTTGTCATTTTATGTGACCCTCTGCCTTTCTATCAAAAGGTTGTCTGTTATAATTTGCATACACACAAATCTATGTACCTGTTGCTGACTACAGTGTATACTCTACTAGTGTACTATTCTTGAACAAAGTGCTATTATAGCTCCAGATGCTTTTGTTTTATTATGTATTACCTTAAATAATAGATCCTGTTTGTCTGTAATTTAATTGCTTTTATTTCCTCCTTTTGTTCTGCTGTATTGTGCGCAACAATGACTTTGAAATTTCCCCACTGTGGGACGAATAGAAGTCTTAGAAATCTTATCTAATCTTTTGCGATCATAAATATATGTTGAGTCATTCAGCCAAATCTGGGTTGTTGGGCCCTGGACAAGACTGGTGATCTAAAATGGTCCTCTTACTAAAAGGTTTAAATGCCATGATCTATAATTTGAATGCAATGTAGTTTCATAAATCTTGCCCTGATGTTTAGATCTAATATATTGATTTTGCGGCAAATCTCTGAATGCATTCCTCTGACTCTCATTGGTCCTTTTTTTAGTGTTTCTGTGTATATAGCTTTGTTAGCAGCCCCAGTTAGCAGCATCAGTTTTCTGTAATTGGGTCTAACATCTTGCTTGTTGTCTGTTTGCAGAGCTGGACTTCTGGGTAGAGCCAGAGAGGACTGCAGATGTGATCGAGGACAGGAACTGTCAGTTACTGGCCAAGATGTTTGAGACTTGTTTGTCTCGGTCCAAAAAGAATGCGCTGCACTGCTCCTCGGTGCTGGTCCCCGAGCGGCTGACCTGGAGGATCGCCCGTGAGGTGCTGAAGCTGGCGTCCTGCGAGCCCTGTGGTCTGCGGGGCTGTGTGCTCTACGTCCACCTAGAGCTGGACAAAGGCGTGAAGCGGCTGGAACGCATCGTGTACGACTCCTCTGTGGTGCCCACCTTCGAGCTGACTTTAGTGTTTAAACAGGACGGCACGGCCTGGCCCAGCCTCAGGGACTTCCTCTTCATGGGGACGTGTTTTGCTCCTTCCTTTCGGCTCGCTCTTAAGCTCAGTCCAGGATTCCGACTGGTCAAGAAGAAGCTGTACTCCTCCTCAGCTGGCACTGTGGTCGAGGAGTGCTGAACTCTGCATATTCCATTAAACTTTGACAGTTTTTATACCACGTGCCTTTTCAGTGAATACTTATATCTATAGAATACTGCGTCTATAGATTCAAAGGGCTGTGATGTTGGAGCTCTGTGGGAAAATGGCCGACGTCTCGGAGTGTGATGTGAAAGTAGATTGTTTTTGACTTCAGATTGTCTCCACAGTTTAAGCGGGAAATTCTGTCGCTGAATGTAGGTATGTTTTGTAACTATTTGCTTTTGGTGGGTAAGTGCGCTTTAAACACTGGGCACTTTGTTGTACATGGCCATAAGAGCACAGATCCCTGACAGGGGGGCCATATGTAGCAGTGTGACTGGGACAGTGAAGGGCCTGGTCCCTGGATGTGTTAGTATGGAGGAGAGGTGAGTGTCTTAAACCTGTGTGTGTGTGTGTGTGTGTGTTGACATGTATTACTTTTTTATACCTAATAATAACTTCATTAGCAAAATTGACGCAATGCCTGAAATGTAATTTTATGACCGATTGAATGTCCGGTTGTTTGTGATTGTCTTCCAAAATTTGCTATTTTTTGATTTGTAAAAAGTTTTTGTCGACCAGACAAATAAATATTTAAATTGTATTGTGTCTTGTTATTTCTATTATTCATAATTGTTTGGAATGATAACCACTTAAAGCTAGGAATTACTATATTTTTATTTGTCCTAACAGAAAAGTCTTTAACATTCTTGAGCATAAATCAAACCATAACATTCTGTCATATTATTTAAAGCATTTTATAAGATGTACAGAATAGTGTAGGGTGTGAGCTCCAGGTTTCTAAAATGTCTGCTCAAACAATCTGCGCTCTCTAGTCTTTGCTTGCACCATGGCCGTCCCACACATTAGCAGAAGTAACATGTTCTGGTGAGCTCCATATATCTGTCAGCTCCTGTTCTCTTGTGCAGGCCCAGAGTAACATACTGACCAATCAGAGCGGGACAAGAGTGTGCATTTTGTTGCCCTAAGGGATGGATTTATAGAAAACCAATACATTTTAAAAGAAAAGGATGAAATTGATGAAAAAGGACAGCGAAAGACACATAAGATGATGTTTCCCCCTTGCTTCTGTTTTTGTCTCTAAGTTTGAAATTCCATCACTGTAGGATAAATAAAGGATCTTCTAATCTGGATCTTAATCTGAAACAATTATCTAATTAATGTTTGGGCAAATCTAAATATGTGGCCAAAATCCAAAATACATGCATGTGAAAACTAGTGCCATAGAATCAAACTGTTTTCAAGAGAAGTTACTTTTTGTGGTTTCAAAGTTCTCCTCCTGCTGTTGCGGTATTCAGTCTTCCCAACATTATCAAGAAATCTACTTTTATGTATTTTTAACAATATATTTTCGTGTCTTGACAGTTTGCATTCCCAACTAAAGACTCCAAACAAGTGTGCCAACAGTGCATGACCTTTGCGGTGGGCATGTGAGTTCTTTAGCTTGTGAGGCATTTCTCACTATCTTTAATGAACATGTCGCCTGGTGATTTTTCATCAGCTAAACAAATAGTCCAAGCGTAAATTCGCATCTCCTCGTCAAAGTTCGAATCCTACGTTTTCCAAATATACGATTAGAGATTAGATGAAATAGACATAAATTGAAATGTCATCGTTGCAGCACATCAAAAAAATATAGGAAAGGAGGAAATAAGAGCACTTTTTTGGATTTTTGGAAGATGTAGGAGCTGAAGTTAGTAATGTTTATTTATAAAGCACATTTTACAGACCAAGGTCACCCAAAGCGCTTTACAATTATCAGAGTTCAGATATTTAACTTAATATTTTAATTAATTTTTAAACCCCTAGTTTTGTTTGTTATAGGCCTTTACCAAATGATAAATGTGCCTGCCACGGTGGCTGAGTGGATAGCACTCTCGCTTCTCAGCTAAGAGAGCACGAAGGTCCTGGGTTCGAATCCCAGTCTTACCAGGGCCTTTCTGAGTGGTGTTTGCACATTCTCTTCGTGTCTGCGTAGGTTTCATACGGGTACTCTGGTTTCCCCTACCACTAAAAACATGTACAATAGGTCTGGCATGAGCCTCCTGTTCGGCGACCCCGCTTCCATCTCTGTGTGGAGTGAGAGGACAAATGCCCAAAAAAATAACAATTGTAAACTGCTTTGTGACTCTGGTCAGTGAAAGGTGGTATATAAATAAGGATTACTTACCAAATACCAAAAGAGATGCCCCAAAAAGGTAGGTCCAATCATACTTCAAGTAGATATAGTAACTCAAAAGGTTAATATAATAGAAATTATTATAATAATACAGTAAAACTCTGGAGCTATAATTTAACTTGATTCAATGATAATACAGTATTGTAGTAGAGAATACAGATAAACAATAGAGTTGAATAAAGTATCGCCGCCTCCTGCCGCAGCACTTTGAGGCTGTTTACTTCACACTGAGTCATTCAGGCAGACGGCAGACTGACACCAGCGCTGGGTCATGTGCTGTTGTGCAAAATGCATCACTCTCATTGTGGAGGGACAAAGCTGTGGTGTCGTGTCACTCGCTCGCCTGCTTTTCTCCCGTAAACATAGCTGAAAAAAACACATTAGGATCGCCTCAGTTTCCCCAAGGGTCGTTAGTGAGCTGTAATTCTGCAGAGCTTGATGTGGAAAAGTACTGGAGGGTTAGCGTGACCCTGGCTCTGGCTGCTTTTGAGACTTGAGAAGAGGTCTGTCAACAAGACTGCAAGAATCAATTCTGCATTACAAAATATCGTCTGCCATCCATCTACAATTTAGCAATTTGATTACAATGCCTGGTTCTACAAAGAATGGTTTTTTAATCCGTTTATTTTTGGTTTTAAGCAGGTGACAGACAATAATGACTTTCTTTTTCATTTTTGCATGTAGTCAAATCCTTCTTCTTTGCCATCCCAGCCTTGTTTTTTTCTTGAGAACCCAATTGGACCCTTTTGGATCTTTTATTGTGTGTCAGAGCTGTAGGATGACAATTTTAGTGGCCACAATTAGAAGAGCGCAAAGACTGATATTATTACAATTTCAATAAAGTGTTTTCTTATCTTATCACTCAATGTTCTCCTGCTTTGTCCTTTGCAATACTAATACTAATAATAATAATAATGATCTATTTTACCATAAACATAGAAGCCTGAAAGCAATAAGCACAAAAATGGCATTCATTACAAAGCCTCATTGCTTTTCGTTCAGTTTTGTGCAGCAGCTGGACTCATTTTGTTCATAGAAATATATAAAAAATGATTTAAAACTCATATTCCTCTGAGTAAGTCCTTTTAGGTCCTTATTTGGTCAAAATACCTTCGTGATTATAAAATGCCACAGATACAAACACAGAACTAAAAAACTTTCTACAAATGCTTTTTTAAAGAATGAGAGGATGGGCCGTTTTGTGAATTGGGTGGCAGCTCTGATTGCCACGCCCCTGACCCAGAAATGGATAATAAAGGGATGAAAATAAAAAATGAATGAAGATGGGACAGTTTTAAACGTAGAAGAATTTTATATTTATCCAAGAGCTAAAGCCTCTGTGCAAAGTATTATGAAGCTCTTCGCGAAAGTTCACTGTGGTAGACCCGGCCACCGCTGCCAGATCTACAAGCCTGCTCATCCTCTACTCATTACACCAGCAAAACGCCCACATCTAATCCACCAATAACCACCAGTACAGCAAGTTAAAAGCCGGAGACACCCACTTCCCGGCCTTCTGAAGTTTGCAAAGCCTCCGCCGCCCCACCTCCTCCTTCTCTCATCGAAGCGTGCTTGCCTACTGCCTCTGCCGCCACCAGTGCCTAGGCCCCGGGGGGGATTATGCGCGCGAGCAAGCGCCGCACTCGACAGCATTTCTCCCGGGCCTAGGGCGCCAAACATGCTTAATCCTAAACTTCTAACTGCATTTTCCCTCTTGGGTCTCTCCAAAGTGAAATAGTTTTAGTGGTTTGATTCCATCTCTGCATGTGCATAGATCAGTTTGCTCCAATGTTTTGATATTTTGCACCAACACATGATAAATGATAAATGCACCCCTTAATGCAATCCAGCGTCACCCAGACCCAAACCTCATGCAACCCCCAGATAAATTGAGTTTGAGACCCCTGACATAAAACCTGCTATAATACAAACCAGGAGACACTTTCTTTGGCGTCCTCTGTGATGCAATATCATTGGATTAGAGTCATCGTTTGGTCGTAACGTGATACAAAAGGGTTCCACATACCGAAGAGGAGTGCGAAGATGCCTGGACCCCATCCATGTTTACAGAGATAGGATTTTATTTCAACTTTCAGATGGCACCACATTATTCCAGCCTACTGTCAATGGGCTCTGTAAAGTAAAGACATCATGTTATCAAGTATGTGTTTTTCAGATCTGACTCGACCGATCAACAACTACTCACTGTAAACCTCACACTGATAAAAAGGCAGTAATGAGTTTCACAAAGCCTGAAACAGAATATTATGAATGACGCTGCACACGATGTGACATTTGTCTGCAAGATGTTGACAAAATATTGAATCGCGATATTTCTGAACAACATTGTGACTGTGTTGTAGTTTTGGATATCCTGCATTTTTAAAGTATCATTTTGTTCAGATAAAAACAAAAACAAATATATGATAATGTTTCTAGGGTTGAATGTATCTATTTTCAATTCAATTAGTTTCATTAATTATGTGTATTGCCATAATCCCCACTGCTGTCAGACTGTACATGAAGTCACTTTAAGTCACCTGCACTAGGACTGAAAAAAACAAAAAACATGCACTACTATTGCCACTGTTTCTTAATTGCCACTTTTATTGTACATATTATATCCTGCATTTAACTTATTTCTTTGCACAACATTTTTTTCTTCTTGAGTGATTCTATCCATGCCAGATGGGACATGTAAATTTCTCCTGAGTGAGATCAATAAAGTCTATCTTATCTTATCTTATCTTATAAATTATAACAGCAGGCTTCTCGGAGGTATTTACAATGTTGTCGATACGCCAACAACAGATCAGAGAATCAAATGGTTTGAATACATGAAATGCAATACTAACAAACACATTGTTGGTATTGTTAGTACAGCCATTGTGGAGCATGATGTCCATAAATGTTTGTAAAAAGTTCTGGATCATCACCGTCCTGTATTTGTCAGGGACAATGCACAATAAACATAAAGCTTAGAGAGAAAAAAACATGTCATGTGCCAGGTTTGAGCAAAACTGCTAATTCACCACCCACAATTGTACAGGTTGATGATATAGTTCCAACGACCAAGAGCGGCACAATGGCTCAAGACTGGCCTTTCTGTGTGGAGTTTGCATGTTCTCCGCGTGTCTGTGTAGGTTTCCTCTGGGTGCTCTAGTTTCCCCTACTACTTGAACACATACAATAGGTTCGGCATGTGCCTTTTTACAGGCGACCCCACATCACTGTGTGAGTGAGAGAGAGACAAATGTCCACAACAATTGTGGCGCACAGTGACTCTGTCTGTCAAGCGAGCTTCATAAATAAATACTACCGACCTACTCGTACAACCTTTTTAATCTTGCGGAAAGTAATTTTAATCTTTTTTCAAATTTTAATTATCAGACTCGAGTTGTGCATTAGGACAGTTTTAATGAATGCTGAGAAAGATGGGATGTTTTTGGGATGAGAAAATAAGAAAAGATTGCTTCTGAAAAAAGCAAATATATAGTAACTATAGTTTGTACTCAAATCCATCATCAAATCTTTCAAAAAAGCCTGTTTCTTACGCTACAGCTTCCACATGCTTGTATTTTTTGGCCTCTGTCACATCTTTAGATCGGTAGAACTCTTTCTGTTATTTTGTTTTATCTGTTGTGATACAGGTTTTAAATCAATATTTTACTGCATCACTCACTGTGCAAATTATAACATGTTTTATGATAAAATGAAGACAGCATGTTGTGTTGTGCCTGGATTGTTCACAAAATGTTACTTTTGCAAAACGTGTTCTGTTGAGACATACAAAAGGTACTTTATGAACATTTACAATTAGGTACTCCAGCTTTAACAATCTTCTTTTGGTAGAATGCTGCATACTTTTATTTTAATTCCACTGTGTAATACGCTGAACATTTCTAAATTCATATGAGAGTCACAAGCACATGTGCATGCTGCACGCCCAAAAATAAAACATATTTTAAGATGTTGCTATGCAGTCCTGCTGTTGTCATGTCCTCTCACTGAGGATGACCTTGGAGAGACACTTCCATTCACATGAAATATCTTTTGACAGCTGTGGTGCCACAACTGCTGTGGGTGACAGTACCTCAGTATGTTTGTGTAAGCTCTCAGTCGTACAGGGATTAGTCAACGCAAAGGAAGGTTTCTCACCCATCATCTGTACTTCTTAGCAGGTTTTCCCGACGTTTCGTCCTCAATCCAATGGACTTCTTCAGGGAATGACTTCTCAGACCGCGCGTTGGGTTAGGGTTAGGGGTTAGGATACCTCAGTATCTCATTTGAATAGTTTTACTTGAATAAAACCCTATTGCAGCAGTCTATATGGGTTTTTAGAAACCTGGATGAGTCCTCTGCCTATTTAAAAGCCTTTCGCTCCATTTAGGTAACATATTTGCTCATTTTTGTGTCTTTCTGACACATTTTATTTTTGAAGGCATAATTTGAAGTTCTGACTTGTGCTGATGTTTTGGAAGATACAAGTTAGTTTTACCTCATTGATGAAAGTTCTGAAATAGTTGAGTTGACAATCTAAATATATTTGTAAATCACAGTTACTAGGCAGCTCAGTGACTTAACAAAACAAGATAGAAACAAAGATACATCCTCAAAGTCCCAGCAGGAGGCCAGTTCCTGTGCTGTTGGTTCATATGACACAAACATGATTTGTACACAAGCAGGTCTATTATCTGAGCCAAAGGTGTTTATTACTCTCTTTTTTGTATGATTATTAGTATTAATTTTTATAAATCTGTTTGCACTATGGATAAATTATGTTAGTGATTTGTACTGACAACAATTTCCATTTATAAACGATACATTTTCAATTTAATATTGCTGGATATACTGTGCATATGTTGACACAGTATGATGACCATGAGGATAAGGATGCAAGTGGTGACTGGTTGACCCAAAAGCATAGTGTTTCAGGCCGTATCACTGTTCGTTGGGTCTAAATATAATTTGAACCATACTCGATACTGTCATCTAGTGGAAACACGCAAAACTACATGTTTCATTTCAAGTTATTTTATTAAACCCTATATAACAACAGCAGTCGTCCCGGAGGTCTTTGGTTTATTATTAGAAAATCAAGATGACCACTGTTCAAAAATATTATTCAATGTCCATAAATATCCAAAATATTTAAAATGTAAAACATCGCATTATACATACCTGTTGGTAATATCATAAATAAATCTGGTTAGAACTACTGCTTCTACAGGAGCAACAATTAAACAAATACATATATTTCGTGGTATTTGTGAGTAAGACGACGTTTTCCGGGTTGAGCATTTGTATACGGGTGTAGCCATGGTAACCGTGCCAAACCTGAGCCGTGCCGATGAACTGTTTCAACTACAAACTCGAGACGACTTGTGCTCTCACTTTTAAAATTTAAAATTAAAAATACAATAGTTGAATTGATTTATAGTATTTATATTTTTATAAATAATGTTGTAAAAATTGGACAATGGCGCCGAAGCCAGCTAAAGACACGGCCAAAAAGGATGCTGGAAACAGACACTGGGAGGCTGTGCTGGTTCAGGAGCCTTTTCAAGAGGTTTGTTCAGTCTGTGTTAACATGATTTAACTGAACATTTTACATGTTATCATTCATCTTATTTTAAAGTATGTATTACACTTAGCTAGCTACTTAATCGTGCCGTTACTGTTTTTTGTCGAAGTTTAAAGTTAGCTAGCTTGTTGAGATAAACGCACGTGCTATGAACCCTACGTTAGCAAGCTAATTAACCAGCTGTTTAGCACTAGCATTAGCATTAAGTTATATTGATTATTTTGAAAAGTGTTTTATTTGAAGTATTTTCGTAGAGTAAAAATAAGTTACATGCGATGTTAAAACACGACACCTAGTGGATAAAGGTTAAACTTCAGCTTGTTGACTGATGTTATTATGGCTTCTTCTAAACTTACTAGCTAACTCAATTCAATTCCTTTTATTTTTTTGTAGCAATAAATCAGAACAGCAGTCGTCATGAAGAACTTTTTTTTTTTTTTTACCAATTTTACCAAATACAAATAAGGAAATGCAATATCAAACAGATAAGAGCCATTGATCTATGGGGAGCAAAATTACCAAAGAGCATAAATGTCTAACCAAAACACTACATTTTTAAATCGTAGTCTTATCATCTACCAGTGGAATACTTTTCTTAATCCAGGATTCATGGAAGGCCTGTGTGTCTCTGGTGGTGGAGACTTGTCCAGAAGATGAAGAGTTGATCCACATGCTCACTGCAGCTGTGCAGAAACCACAGCGAAGACTTTTCTCCATATTGACCTGGGACGACACCAAAGCAAAGGTTCTATTTATACTACAGTCTGGGATGAATTGCGGTTTTGAGATGTTGTTGTTGCTCATATGATTGTTATTACAGATTATTGAATTTGGAAATCCCAAGACCAGGAAACGTGATAATGCTGCTGCGTTTTCAGAGGTATTTAGATTTAATGCTCCCATTCTGTATTTATAAATGTAATCTTTACTCTAGTTTTGGATTATTTTTTACATTGGATATGTTTTTGTTTCCAGGTCACAGAGCCTGCAAAGCTGCTACTTGATGGCGGGGAGGACATTCCTGTTGATCTTCTGGCAAAATTAGTAAAATTTCAATTACTGCAAGTAAAAAGGGAGGATAAACTGAGGAGGCAAGCCGAGCAGGCAAGTGCACAATCAGGTGTAATTACTTTAACCATAAACCTTTCCTTTCAAATCATAAAAGAATGACTATGTTCCTCTCTCTCAAAACACTTGGTTCCATTACTAGTTTTCACTTGAGTATATATTTGGCCTCTATAGCCGCATTTTCATCGCAGGTGTTCCTGGTACAAGGACTGGGGTGGAACTTCTACAGGAACCTTCCTCTCCTGAGGTCCTCTCAGTGGTCATGTGTCCACTGCAGAGTAGGACCACTTTCGATTGGCGCATAAGCAAAACTCATTACGCCAAACCCATTTGTTTATTTTACGGTCGTAACCGCTCCTGTTGTGCTCTTTGAGTGTTTTTATAGTCCTTCAGTTTTTTGGAACTTTTCATGGCTTGTTTTAGAGTCTGATGAATCCCCAGTGCTTCGAGGTGAAGCTGATATGGCTTAATATATCTTTTCATTTTGCCGCGATGCCTCAAACCCCGTCTGAACCAATGCCGTGCTGTTTCCAGTGGTGTCTTCTAGGCGAATGCTGCTGGGCTAATGCTGCTGAATGCCGGTTGATTTGGTGCTTTCTGCTGGCGTCAAAGCCTGCTCTAGCTTTAGCCAATCAGCGCCGGGTTAACCTCAAGTCCCACCAGTGCCTAATGGAGTAAAAGTTTCTGTGGGGGAAGTTCCTGCAGTGGATACACGCACCGACGAGGCTGGCCCTGGAAAATTACCCCAAAATTCCTGTGGTGGAAACGCGGCTTATTGCATCTTTATAGCTTCAGATCTTGTGGTCTGACTTCACTTGAGACAAACAATTAGCCTTATTTATGATGAAAGATAAGATTTCCAAAACATTATGAAAATCATGTTATGTTTTTATCAAGGTTAAAAATGCAGAGGAGAAAAAAAAGGATGCTCCTCGCTCTGCTACTAAAGATAAAGGCGGAAAAGACAAGAAAGGAAAAGCTACTTCTCCTGTGCCCGAGAAAAAGACCAAGCTAAAACGCAGGGATGAAGTTGACCCTCCTGACTACATTGGTGACAAGATTTATTCACAACTGCAACAGCAATGTTATTCACAATTTCATACATTATGTGTCTTTTTATTCTGTGAAAAGATGATGAGCCAGGTGATGGTCCTCAGCACTATATCTTCATCGTGGGATTTTACCACCCACAATTGTTTGGAGCTCTGGATTCAATCGGTGTACACGTATCCAATGTCATTAAATTATCCCAAGAGACAAAAGGGCAACAAAAAACAGAGAACAAAAAAGAATCTGAAAGCATTACTAGAGACACAGGTAGATGCACAGTGGCATACAAGTAAAGTTATAGTGTTTACAAAGTGGTGTTGTCTTTTGTGTTTGTGAGTAGAAGAGGAAGACTGCATGGTGCGGCTTGCTTCTCAAACCAAGAGGCTGGATCACTTCTGGTCCGGACTGCGCTATTATTTAGACTGTGGACCCCCTGACTCAAAGCTCCATGATGTGGCTCAACTCAACTACAGCGTTTGCTTCCCTTCTGTTGACATACAAGAATCAGAGGCTGTGGTGAAGTTCCTAATGATTTTAGTCATTTTAAAGCTGGAATACCTAACTTTGAAACCACAACAAATTATTATCAAAACAAAATCAATGTAACTAGTTCTTAGATTTCAAAATTGTTTAGTTCTATCAGATGCATGTGTTCTTGACCTCTGTTTTAGATTAGCTTTTTCAGAACAAAAAAAATAGAGTACCGGCCCTCACTCTGCCTATCAGCTCTCAAGTGTTCTTTATCTTTTAACATTTTATCTTTAACAACCTGAGAACTGGCTGAGTGGGGGAAGGTACTCTCTTTTTCTGTCTGAAAAAGCTGATGTGACAGAGGTTGGGTTCTGGTTTGTTCACAAAATTTTACAAAATTAGAATTTTTCTGTTTTGACAAAGAAAATGTTTTTATGACACAACAAAAGCTAGGTTCTCCAGCTTTAATACACTGTTTTAATGCTACATTTTAACACTTTTTGTGCCAATATACAGCTAACGTTGGGAAGCAGTATTTTTGAAGGCTTAGCAAGTCTCATCTATGACACTCTGGACTGGCGTCAGCAGCATCAGCACTATCTGGAAAACCTGAAAATTATTGATGTTCCCCGGCTCTCTGAACCAGACACGCAGCCTATTGAGGTACACTGTCGCCATTATTATTATTATTATTAGAAATAATGTTTTTCATTCTGGACTTGTAAAGGGGCATTGCACAACTGTTCGGATGAGGTCTGCTACCTGCTTGTTGTTCACTTTCACTGAGTGAAGTCATATGCTTGTAAATGGGCCCAGGACAGTTGTGGAATGCACCTTTTTTATATGAAAAATACAAATGTTGCTATTTTAGCCTGTGATTAACACTCGCACTAAGAAGAAAGCCGCACAAGAAGAAATCCTGCCAGCACAAGGTAGAAATATCCACAACTACAGTTTCAACTAATCTATTGTGGTCCACAAACTGTTAATTGTTTACAACTATCCTGTTTTGTCTAGAAACTAAAGCGCTCACAACTGAAGTGGACATGTCTTACTATTGTAAATTATTAAATACGGTTCCTCCTGAAGCCTGCTCTGTCCCCCTGATGGTGCACTGCATGTTAGAACAGGTTTGTATATTTTAAGCTGGTCTCTCTTTAGAAACGCTGTTCATTGATTTTTTTTTGTGCTTTTAGGTTGTCTTGACTTCAGCCCCCTCTGGTCCTGCTCCCTCTGAAGAGACTGAAGACATGAACGATTATAACGGCCAATTCTTACACCAGGAGTTGGTCAGCTGTATGCTCGATGAGTTTCTTCCTCTGGTTCATACAGAGAAAGAGAAAAGCCACTTGCTGAACACTTTGACTGCCATGGTGACTGCAAAGGGGGATAAGAAGGTAAGAGCTCATGCAGCAAGGCTTTATGGGTAATATGGGGGTGCGGGTCCTTGTAGCATTGGTGGTTCAGTGGTAGAATTCTCGCCTGCCACGCGGGAGGCCCGGGTTCGATTCCCGGCCAATGCACATTTCCCTTTTTCTCAGCGCCGTCTGTCCGCAAAGACGCCACACGCGTCACGGTCCTGGAATGCAGAGTAACGGAATAGTCACACATGGGCAGAAATGAGTGAATGGCTGCTGTAGAATTGTTGTGATCTTTTATAAAACAGGCTCTCATGTTGAAAGGCTCAGAGCGGCGCAGAGCGGGGGATGTGGCTGTACACGAGCCCGCCTGTGGGAGATCACATGACACAGGGGGAGGGGTATGCAGCTAGGGAGTGCTTGTCAGTGTTTTTTACTTATAAAGTAATCCTTTTTTAATGCATATTATAACCATCTCCTCAATCTATATATACTTACAAAAATGGTTGTTAACATTAGTTATTTGTGTTTTCAAAAGTGTACATACCATTGTCCTAGAAATGTGTGTGACTGTGGCTGTTAAAGCAATGTCCACCAGATGGTGCTATAATCACGATCCAGTGGATCACTTGGTGTAGGATTTAGGATGACCATACAGTACCTATGGGAAAATGTTCTGTGGGATGCAGTGCCACACAGGGCTGCTTAAGAAAAAATACTCAATCATTGATTTCAAAATATAAGCAATCATATATCATGTTAAAAAATAACACACTTAGTTAATTCTACCATTTCATTATACTATTAATAATATATTTATTATATTTTTCATTTTAAAGTTGAAATTGTGAGAAAGGATTGCATGAAGTTGCTGGTTTTGTGTCCAACAGTCTTTAATGTTTATAGGCTTAGAGGCCCCAGTATATGTTAAAAAGGGGGCTCTGCGTAAGAAAAACCTACACAAATAATTCAATCACATGTTCAACGGCTGTATTACTTCACTCTTTGTAATACACTTTGATCATTTATGATTTTAAGGCGTTTTGTGATTCTAATGTTTCTATATTGTTTTGTTAAGCACTTTGAGTCGCTTTGTGTATGAACTGTGCTATACAAATAAACTTGTCCTGACTAATGGTTTATGGTTTGGTTTATTAGAGGCTTTTGGAGAAGTATGGACAAAATGAGGTGGAAGCTGCAGACCCTCAAGTCATCAGACATCACGATGAACGAACACAACGCTTAAGAAACAGAAAAGTATTCTGATTTATAAATATATATTTAATGCGCACAGCCGAAGATATAGACAATTTACATTCTTTAGGCGGGGGAGGAGTTTGATCCTGTGGAGGTAGAGAAGAACATGCTGACGATGTCTCCTGTGTGGGGCCTGATCCAGTCTTTGGCCCAGTATAAAAACTCCCCCTGCTGGATGGCCATAAAACAGCAGCTACAATACTATTGCACCAATGGTTGTCATTACTAATTATTTAATATTTGCCAATGTTACAAGTGATTGCAATTGTGCGATGTTTGAATACAGATGTCATCTCCTGGGCTGATGTCGAGCGCATGTTTGACCAAAGTGTCTTGGAGGGCATGCCCCTGACTCAGCTGGAACCCACCGAAGCGCTCGCCTCATCAGGATCCGCTCCAGTGATGACAACAGCCATCCCCTGGGACGATCCCCTAGCTTTTGCTAAACAACAGCTTTGGCATTTGCAGAACCAAGGTCTCATCGCTCATTTTCATTTGAAATGCATAATGGCAAGAGTTAAGCTGCAGTCATGCTGTAGAGATGTATTTCAGTTGCGGGGCAGGTGTCAATACAACTCAAATTCAAGCATTTTATTGAAAGAAATGCTAAAAAATGTTTTCCCAGATTATAATTTGATAGTGACTAGATTCACAAACTCGCCATATTATCCCTGTGTCTTAAAGTCCTTTCTTTTTTGAATATCGTCCCCACTTCTTGACAAATTAAGGAAAAATAATTATTAGACCACAAAAGAGTTGACAAAAAAGATGTGAAACTTTGTGACAATTGTTGTTTCATATGTATTGGCGAGAAATTAGCTACAGTATAAACCAAGAATGACATTTAAGGATGTCACATGAATGCTAACTATTGTGTCTCATTGTTGATTCATCTTTGATATTTTTATACATCTAGGTCCAGCATTTCTGACTGAAGATCCTGATAACACAAGGGTATTTCAGGTGTAATTTCTTCTCAATATTCGTCTATACTGTATGTTGCATGATTCTGTCTGCTTTTATTAAGGTCAATAAGGAAGTCCCTGTTCATTTGGAGTTATCTGAGATCCAAAGCTGCAGGCACAGAAATCTATTCGACTGGCATTATTCTGAACACCACAACTCTGCCACATTTCTACAGGTAACAAACGCAAATGATTCATATCTCTTTGTTTTGATAATTGAAAGCCCAGTCCTGAATATTATCGGATAGGTTCTTCAAGTAGCATCAGAGCAATACCGCTGCTTGGACACATTCAGAGGAAGTTATAAAAATAACCTATACATCTATTGCCACAATCCCATGAATAAGAATCGCTTCTGCACAGAGTCTTGGGACGTCGCTCTACACACAAGTGTCAGATTCAGGTTGAAATCTTTTTCTTTTAGCTGTTCTCCATCCGTCTTTATATTATTACAATTACATACCCCTCTTATTGTTTAATATAGGAAATATCTAGAATTTGTGGCTGAAAACATTTCTGAATGGACAAAGGAAGAGGAGTCCAAGAGGGAGGCAATGGATAAAGTTTCTCCCGTTGAAACCCTAAAAGGTACCCTGACTACTTGCCAATATGATGCATGCTTTTCGAATATTGTCACCTCTTCTAGACATCTTTTAGCTGATAAGTACTGACAAAGAACATGTGGAACTTTGTGACAGTTTTTGTTTCATGTAGATTTGGATAACAGACAAATCATCTTCATACTACTTTGACACTTACTGTAGTTAAAAGAAAGATTACTATAGGCTCTTTGAATTATAATGTCACTTATTCAACTCATTTGTATATGCCATACATTTTGAGAATTCACATCATAACTCCTGTTGTTAGTGGAGAACAGGCCTCCCACTTCTAATGACAAGGAGCAAGAGCCAGTGATCCGGAAAGAATCCCTCAAAGTCTGTATCGCACTAATCACCAATTATCTGTTTTGTTTTATACACTATATTAATATATTTCATTTACTTCACACTTCCAATGCCAGGCATGGAAACAGGAACAAGAGCAGCTAAAAGAAGAGGAGGTAACCAAAAAGGCAAAGAACGAGCCGGCGCAGAAAGGCAAACCGGCAAAGGAAGATGCTGCTGCTAAGGACAAGAAGCAAAACAAGGTTCCACAAAGTGCGAAGAAGGGGAGAGCGGACACGGCCAGTTCTGCCAAGACACAAAGCAACTCTTTTCAGGCGGACGGAGAGGAGCAAGAGGAGCAGTTCAATGTGAGAGGATTGAGATGTATTTCTGTCTTTATTTGAGGATATTTTTGTAAGTAATCTTTATTTATATACCGCCTTTTCACTGCACATCAGAGTCTCAAAGCGGTTTACAATTGTGATTTTTGGGAGTGGGGGTGCCAGTACAGGAGGCACATGCTAGACCAGGGGTCACCAACGCGGTGCCCGCGGGCACCAGGTGCCCGCGGGCACCAGGTCGCCCGCAAGGACCAGATGAGTCGCCCGCTGGCCTGTTCTAAAAATAGCTCAAATGGCAGCACTTACCAGTGCTATTCTTGTTTAAATCATACTTACATGCAACTTACAAATGGCATATAAACTAGAGCCGGGACTTTAACAAGTTAATAAAGATTAATTAATTACACACAAAAAGCGCGTTAAAAAAATTACGCATTTTAATCGTATGTATTTTTGCACCGCGGAACGTTCCTCACTGAATACGTTTCAGACGGACCAATTGAACTGACGCACCAACCGGAGCTCCGTGACTTTTCTTGTTCAAAAGTACATTATTACAAGCAGAGACCAACTTTAAATTCGAGTAAATTAGACGGGAATGAGCGTTGTGTATGGAGCGATGGACTCTGTGTGTGAGGAGGAGGAGCAGTGACTCCTGTGTGAGCGGAGGAGGAGGAGAAGGAGAAGGAGGAGCGAGACACAGGTGTGTGAGATGCTAATGCTGATGTTTACTCCGAATGCACACATCAAAAACGTATTATAAAAGCTTTAGCAAACAGCGCATGCCCAGCTTTAGTGCTCACAGCGTGTGCAGTGGATTTTGGGCTTAAAAAGAGTATGTTGTCGTCAGTGTGAGGAGGAGGAGGAGGAGCATATGTTGTCGTCAGAGTGTGGAGGCAATGACAGAAACGTTATTTGATGTTTAGAAGTTATCCCTTAAACTCCATATTAACATGTGTTGCTTAAGCCTCATGTATTCAGTCATTATTCAATGGTAAACTAAAAATCCATGTGAAAAAAATTACTTCTCACTGTTCTCAGGTCAAATATTTATATGCGATTAAAATGTGATTAATTGCGATTAAATGGGACTGTCTTAGAAGTGATCATTTGTTAAATTTGAAAAATGTGCACTTAGAGAAAATATAAAAGTTTTTCCACAAAATAAATATCATTAATTATTAGTAAAAACATAGAATTAAAGGTAAATTGAGCAAATTGGCCATATCTGGCAATTTATTTAAGTGTGTAACAAACTGGTAGCCCTTCGCATTAATCAGTACCCAAGAAGTAGCTCTTGGTTTCAAAAAGGTTGGTGACCCCTGTGCTAGACCTATTGTACATATTTTTAGTGGTAGGGGAAACCGGAGGAAACCTACGCAGACACGGGGAGAACATGCAAACTCCACTCAGAAAGGCCCTGGTCCAACCGGGATTCGAACCCAGGACCTTCTTGCTGAGAGGTGAGAGTGCTATCTACTCAGCCACCGTACCGCCACTTTTGTATCGTTATAAAACAGAGTTGGAGGTTGAAACAAGTAAAAATAAGATTTCCCCAAAAAGAAACCGAAAAAATGTTACTTTTGAGAAATACTTAATTTACATGATAGCACGGGGTCATATGGTTAAAAACCTACAGTCCTTTAGAAATGCTATACGATCTCTGAAATTGCATTTTCGATTTTGTTGTGTCTTAATGGTGTAGCCCTTCTTTTATATTTGACCGTGGATTAACTTTGCAGGGGTTTAGAGGTTACGACATGGACGGAAAGCTAATCCATGTTTCAGGTAATGTGCACTATCTTTACCCTTCAGACGGAGGAAGCGTTATTGTGGAGAAAGCTGACTATGTTGAAGGTACCAAAACTGCAAAGAGTGAAAAATTAGCATCTTGTACTGAACGTGTGTATGACCTGTTTTATATTGTAGGTTCAAGTCTGTTGAAAATTGCCGTTAAAAAGGATGGTCATAGTTTCTACACACATATCAACCACATTTGTGAAGAATTAAAGCTTGAGAATGTTCAACCCAATGAACCTTTTACACCACAAGAAGCAACCAAAGGTGTGTTGCTTCTTTTTCCGACAGGTTACAGTGACCGTGTTGAACTAAAATGTGTGCTGTTACGTTTCAGGAGTGGCTAAAGTGAAGCAGGGCACTTTCACCGCCGTGTTGGACTGTGGGATCCGCCTTTCATACAGTTTCTACGGCCAGACAGGACAACATATAGGTCATATCACCATGAATAATAAAACAATCTATTTCAACTGCACAAAATATGACATTGGCAACTTGTACATGCAATTTTTTTTCAGATAGCTCTCAAGAATCAGCAAACAACATAACTGAGACTGCTGCTAATGATCAGGAGCCGAAAGAAATGCAACCAGATGTACAAACAAAACCAGAAAGTCCATCAAGTCCAACTCTATCACCAGAAACTCAGGTCTTGCACACTCACAAGCTAACGACTGAACACTGCTTGTTTACCTTTTCACCTGTATTAATTCTGCTGTCTTGCCTAAATCAATTTGTTTCTCCCTTCTTTGCTTAAAAAAACCCAATAAGAAATGTATATCATATCGTTCGTTATGTGAATTATATGTAGGAAGGGAAAACTGGGTTAGTCCCCCCCTCTTGCCTCAGCTCATCTCTCCCCAATGGCCTCCTGTTGCAGTTGCTATGCGAGGATTCACAAGGTCAGTGTCCTGTGGAGATAAAACGATCCAATTTATAGTGCCCTTGATGCAAAGTTTTAGTGGGACAGACGTTTCTACTTCTTCAGCCATCTGCATTCTGTTGTAGGTGTGCCATCTGAAGAACTGGGCATGCTCGTTAGACAGAGCTTCCCTTTGTACGGAGCAGGAGACACTGGAGGATTTCCTGATTGTTCGTTGTCCAAAGAAGTGTTCCGTGTGGTCACAAGCCGAGGAGCTGTTGTCCGGAAGATGAGAGACGGCTCCACTCAGGTACAAATGCATTTAAAGTGTCTGATGTTGTTACCTCCGCCCAAAAAGGATATGCTTTCATCTCCTCAAAAAATTTGTTTTTCAAAATGTTCAGTAAAACTCAGAATTGGGACAAGGAGCAGAGGAAATGGAAATAGGCCTAAATGTCAGTTAAAGAACTATTAGTGAGATAATGTACTAAAGGTATATTTTCCAGCCGGTTACTCCTGATCCGAGATCCTAACTGTAAAATTGACCTGCCATTATCTTGACACATCTAAGAAGCTAAGCTACTCAGAGCCAGAACCACTGGAATACAGTATCAGGAGCCACAGTGAGATAGCTAAAGATGCCCTGCCACATTGAATAGTATCGAGTGGCTGTGGCTAATAGCATACAGTTGCTTACCAACCACTTGAATAAATTATGAATAATATAGGTAAAAGGGAAAGATTTAAGTCTACAAATCTGATGTTCTCTTGTAGGTGCTGTTTGCAGATGGATCTGTGTGTTCCAGTCTGTTTTCGGCTCCTGGCTCTGACCTCACAACTATAAACACCAGCGATGAGACAAAAGGTTAAACTTGAGCAGAGGATAATAGGGTTGACAATATGATTCTTTATCAGAGGCAGTTCATTTGCATTCTTTGCTGTGTCTCAATGTCATTGTTACTGTCTTCAACAGAGCAAAGCCCCGCACTCGATGAAGAAACCGAGGAAGGATTCTGGTCAACAACGACACCAACCGGAGCTCGCTTTTACTCTGCCAGGACCAGCCATAAACGGTCGCCCACTTCACCACTTCTGGTCTTTAAAGCCACTGATCCGATAACAAAAGAGGTAAATCCATCAAATGTGGGTCTATTTCTAAACAAAGCAATTTAGTTAACCTTTAAAGGACCTCAGGTGATGCTGACCAGGGAGGACCGAGTGGTGTCCGTTCAAAGCCCCGATGGATCAATAACAGTGGAGCATGCAGACGGCACCCGGATCACCAGCCTTTACGAGGACTCGCTGTCCATACACACAGGTAGAACATACAAAGGCATTTTTCACAGCGCAAAACATAATCATTATACAGTGCATTCACTATATGTGATGCGATCTGGGAAAACCCGTCGGATAAATAGTGAAAATAGGTCGAATGTCATTTTTTTGGCTAAATTGTGTTTTCATTAAATAATTATTATTTAACTTCTTCTATCTAGGTGAAATTCACTAATTTTATACATAAAAAATTGTGATATGTGTTGATAAACCGAACGTTACATTACATCCTCCGCTCTGACCCCGGGAGCACCTGCGGCCACTTTGTGACAGCCGCTTTGACAGCTCACTAAGAGCACTGCTGTAACGGGGCTCCGAGCACGGACCATCGACAGGCGGACAGGACCATAGACAGGACCATAAACACGTGAACAGGACCATAGACACGCAAACAGGACCATACGCGGATCATAGACACGCGAGACACCCGGATCATAGACAGTTGGACAGGACCATAGACACACGGACCATAGACACTCTTCTGACAGGACCATAGACAGAACCATACGCGGACAGAACCATTGGCACGCGTTCAGGCAATCCCCAGCTTGTCTCCCCCGTGTCTCCTATGCGCTCACGAAATTAAAACTTGGGTACCTAATTTTCTTCTTGCATTAAAAATGCTTGGTGGTTGTGGATATTTATACTGCATGATTGGATAGAATAATACTGGCATTGTCTAATACATATATAATGTTCAGTAACTTATAAAGAGAAAGCAACTTAAAAAGAAGAGTTAGAAAAGTTTTTAAAAACAAATTTAATTCATTGAATTTTGAAATCATTCTTAATTTTCATCTAATTCATGAGTGTTGTGTGTTTAATTGGTGCCAAAGTAAAAAAAAATATCTTTTACAACATAGTGACTAAAATAAGTGTGTGCCATAACAGAGTAATTCATATTAAACATGTTATATTTTTTTGTGGTGATTCTATTTAGAATGTCTAACTTTAATCCTGTTTTTCTCAGAATTCTGTTTCATAAAACCATGTGAATTCGCTGACTTCAGATAATGATAACTTTTGTTACAGACCTGCTATGAAAAAAAGGAAAACAGATTTGAAAAGAGATTGAAGAGATTGAAAGCAGCTTTAAGATGGTGTCAGAATCTTTAAATTTCTCCATGTGATGTGTTTTCCCCAGATCGCACATATCACAAATAGTTTATTGCACATCTGAAACTAGTTACTGATTTGAGCAAGTAATCAGTAAAACTACATAAACAAGACAAGAGGTGACCTTTTTAAAATTAATGTTGAACTATATCAGAATAACTTTTATAAAACCTTGTGGCCCCCGTATTATTATTATTATTAGTTACAGTGCCTTGCGAAAGTACTACAATAACTACAGCTGAGGTGGGAGAGTCTGTCCATAGGACAACAATCAGTCGTGCACTGCACAAATCTGGCCTTTATGGAAGAGTGGCAAGAAGAAAGCCATTTCTCAAAGATATCCAAAAAAAGTCTCTTTTAAAGTTTGCCACAAGCCACCTGGGAGACACACCAAACATGTGGAAGGTGCTCTGGTCAGATGAAACCAAAATCGAACTTTTTGGCCACAATGCAAAACGATATGTTTGGCGTAAAAGCAACACAGCTCATCACCCTGAACACACCATCCCCACCTCAGCTGTAGTTATCTGCAGTTCATCCAGAGTGATCATGGGCCTCTTGGCTGCATCTCTGATCAGTCTTCTCCTTGTTTGAGATGAAAGTTTGGAGGGACGGCCGGGTCTTGGTAGATTTGCAGTGGTCTGATACTCCTTCCATTTCAATATAATTGCTTGCACAGTGCTCCTTGAGATGTTTAAAGCTTGGGAAATCTTTTTGTATCCAAATCCGGCTTTAAACTTCTCCACAACAGTATCTCGGACCTGCCTGGTGTGTTCCTTTGTCTTCATGGTTCTCTCTGCGCTTTAAACAGAACCCTGAGACTATCAAAGAGCAGGTGCATTTATACGGAGACTTGATTACACACAGGTGCATTCTATTTATCATCATCAGTCGTTTAGGACAACATTGGATCATTCAAAGATCCTCACTGAACTTCTGGAGTGAGTTTGCTGCACTGAAAGTAAAGGGGCCGAATAATATTGCACGCCTCACTTTTCAGTTTTTTATTTGTTAAAAAAGTTTAAATTATCCAATACATTTCGTTCCACTTCACGATTGTGTCCCACTTGTTGTTGATTCATGACAAAAAATTAAAATTTTATATCTTTATGTTTGAAGCCTGAAATGTGGCGAAATGTTGAAAGGTTCAAGGGGGCCGAATACTTTCGCAAGGCACTGTAAATGTTGGTTAATAGGTTTATAGTTCAAATTATGGTTTACAGTTTTAAGTATTTTCTTTTCGCCAACAACATATCAGAGAATCAAACACAAGAAATGCAATATCAAAAATTGGAGCCATTGTTCAATTGGGAGCTGGATGACAATTGTTGATGACAGTTGATAAATGTCCCGGATCATCACTGTCCTTAGACCCTCTCTGCTCCGTCTGCAGGGAGACGGCCTGAAAGTACAGCCCTCAAGTCCCCGTCTGCTGAGTGCGAGCTGAGCCTGGGACACAGCAGAGAAGAGTCGGCCCATTTGGAGCTGGGGAAAAAGGAAAGAGCTCCCTCCACCGTTTATGAAAACAGCACTGAGAGTTTGTCCTGGTCCAGGAAAAGCAGCAATAGCGAAAACGGCCGTGTGTCGCTCAAAGAGAAAGTGGTTTTAGTGGAGAAGGAGGGCTGTGCATCTGTGGTCATGTATCCAAAGCGACGCACGGCTCACGTCTTCCTGGCAGATGGAACCGTCATCACAGGGAACTGTTCAGGAGCGTACCAGGTGAGAGGCTTCGGATGTATCGAGTAATTAATCGTATCGTGTCATGTGTGTTGTATTGGCCGCATGTTGAAAGTCACCCAGCCCGATTTACGATTCTATTTTATCACTCACTTTAAAAATCGTCTTTTTAACAATTCATCCGCTTTGTGATTTTTCTAGGTGTTTCCGTCAAATGTGGGCTTACTCCAGATCCACAGCGATGGAAAATGCACGTACACCTCTGACCTGCTGGACACGCCGCGACCAACAGGAGGTGCTGTCCTGCCACAGTGTGGGACTTACACTATGAGTCACAGTGATGTAGTGGCGTGTGACGTCACAGATTCAAAGGGTAACCACTTTCAGGTCAGTGTAAGATCCGACATGGAAAGAGACCTTACACGTATACTGTAGATGCATCATAAGATCAAGTTAGACACAGCCGTTTCAAATTCACTTTCATAAGAGCTGCTTTTTTGCATGCCATGTTTTTTGTCCTGGATAAATGCACACCAGGACAACCATTAATATATGCATTACAACAATTAATTTTTTATTCCGCATTTTTTTCTCAGTGCAGTTTTTTGCCATTTTCAACTAAAGTATTGCCCATAAGTTTTACAATACATTTTTTGCAGCCACTAATTTTCAAATCTTGTTATATACAAAGAAGATTCCTTCCCTCCCTCTAGTGGTAGCATAGGGAGTTAAAGGAGGAAAGCATTTTTCTTTTACCCTTCATAATTATTTCACCATATATTTTCTACAAAGATAATATTTCAGATTCAGATCAGATTCATTTATTCAGATTCATTTCACATTCAAAAACAATACAATGACAAAGTAAACAATCTCAGCATAGTTTTGAATGGCCAGAAATCACCCATCATATTTCTTCTTTAATACATTTACATTCTTTACCAGTGTAATATATTCTCTTTCGGAATATTCTCCCCCCTAATTGATTGAAAAAAAAAACGCCATTGTCTGTCTCGCATACTGATGACCTATCTTTGTTGGGGCAGTAATAAAACTGGGATTCTATTTAAAGATTCAGACAGGCAGCTGTGGGACGGGGTGCGATGTGTCAGCTTGTTTGTGCCTCCAACAAAAAGAGCAAATTACAATGCTAAACACTGTCTCACGAGGCGCTTTCTAACCCTGTCTGTTTTCTCATTACAGGTGATGGAAAACGGGACGATATCTGTTTCAAACTCAAGTCCAGCTTCTCCTAAAAGAAAAGAGGATGAAGAGGACAGAGACACGGATAGATGTGAAAATGAGGAGCACAGCCCGAGGTGATGCTGCTTTAATTGCCTCTCTAGGACAATAAAGTTTGTTCTAAATATAGCTGTGGCAGAATAGCTGACGAGACTGGCAAGTTCTGTACAGCTGTAACTGGGAGGTTAGGTACAGTTGATTATTGAAATGACTTGTAGCTTATGTCAATTCTATTGTAGTGTAAGTCTCAATGTTTGGCTTATTTGGTTATATCCATCCATCCAGCTCTATTTTTCACTTTACTAAACTCTACTGGTATTATATTACTTATAATAGACTTCATTGACCATGCCATAACTGTCACTTTGGTTCCAGGATTTTCATTGCACATAGAAATGGCTCTGGGACTGAACTGCTTTTCTCCCAGACAGTGGAGGAACTGTTTTTTCAGGCTTACTCTGATCCGACTGTGGCGATCATGAAGGAGCCACTGCCGGACACACAAGGTACAGACCTATGCCTATGTTTCAATTACAAAATCATTTAAGTTCAGATGGTTTTGGGTATTTTCTTTAGTGTTTTATATTATGTGTAATTTGAATTCTAATTTGAGTCAAGTTCAGCAGAACCTGAGATAGTCCTTAGTTATAAATCCCTATAATAAATACGGTATCTATACTGATAGCTTTTCTGTTTATTTAGATGAGTTTGGCATCACCATCCTGAAGCCTGGGTATGTGAGCGCGTGGTCCCAGTGGGTACTTGCAAAACAAAAGTCAGACATCACTCCTCCGAACCTTAGAAACCGCAACTGGAACGACTTCCCCAATGCAGCGGTACGCGGTCACAAAACATTTTCCATTTAGCTCCACATTTTGTTTGTTTTTACATCTCCTTTTTCTCGAACGCAGAAACCAGGTGCCGGCCGTCCTTTTGGGACAGATATGGGCCGGTCTTTGTCTCTTAATCCCTGGTGCGGGGCTTCAGTGACACAGAATCTACCTTTGAGGAGCTGTCCAAAAGTACTGGAGATGAGAGAACTGCAGGAGCACCGGCCATTCACGGCTCCCCTGAGGAACGCTCTGGACTCGCAGCTCAAGGTCAGAGACGCAGACTCTGAGTGAACGTGCTGGAAGTGCACCTGCGAATATGCACACATTCACATAGAGCAAGTGTTTGACGCTAATCTTTGTGTCTGTGGATATTTGTAAATGCATGTTTAGTTTATGCTTGTATTTTGTCAAAAAAGATTTCTTTGTTTTGAGATTATTTATTTGTAGATTTTTCCGAACAAAACTAGTTCAGTCTGGACTAAACCAAAACTGGGTCAAAGTTAAGGCCTCAATATTTTTGAGTTGAAAAAATTATATTGTTGTTTTCTTGTGAAAATAGTTTTAAAATGAGGTGCAACATCCCATGGTAGCTCTTATTAACCTCACCATCAATGCTGCCAGTTAATATAAAAATGGTCTGGGGGTTCTGTTTGACACCTGAGCCTTGTATTGTTCGTACAAAAGAATCTGATTTCAAATATATTCCTTCTTGTCTCCAGGAATACATTGAGAGTTTAATGGAAAAGGAGCAACGATCTGAGCAAATGAAGATGAAAGACCCTCGCTCAGAGCAGGAGAGCAGCCATGCCAGCGGTCTGCTCGATCTAGTTCTGGTGAGCCCCAAACAAAACTCTATGTACTCATTCTGGTGGCACCACCTGCCAAGTGGTGGTGGATCCAGGGGCCGATGGCATACGGTTGCCTTGCTTCTGTCAGTCTGCCCCAGGGCATGTGGCTACATCAGTAGTTTATTGACACCATGTATGTGTATGAGTATATGACTAACCACATGTGAAGCGTCTTTCAGTGTCCAAAAAAAGCACTATTTAAAATCAATTATCATCATTATTTTTTCCAATAAAAAAAAAAAAAACCTAATGCTGGAATACCTAACTCTAACTATAAAATCCATGTCATATTCTATCACTAATTTTCACATGCATGTATTTTTGGCTTCTGTCACATACAGAGATGCTTTTTCATACAGAGGTGAGACTGAGAGTAGCCAGCCAATCAGCTCTCAGATCAAATAAAATATGTAAAGTTTTCTAATTAGCGGTCTGAAAAAAAGTTTTTTTGTTTAGTCTTTTGCAGACCAAGAAGATTCGTCACAAAGCACTGATAAACAGATTTCTGGTCAGTGAAAGTTCATTTATTGTAATTCTCAGTCGCACAATACATTTGGACTATTTGATGATGTTTTTCATACATACTTATGTTTTTCATTAGACATAAGCAGCCTGTACATGCAGAGTGTTGGAGGACCAGTAGAATCTGAGACTTCTGAAGCCACAACCACCCCAGCAAGTGAGAGGTGCGGTCAAACTAAAATACAGCTGTATAATTTAGTTCAAAAGTTCAAATAATAATAATATTGTTGATGTTGTCGTCTAGTTTTGCCACTGGACACAATTCTCTGTGGACTGGGAGACTTGCATTGTATCGGTAATCTTTTGCTTATCCATATGTTCTGGGAGGACAGTGATGATCCGGGACATTTATGGACCAATGGCTTCTATGTGAACTGTTTGATTCCCTGATCTGTTGTTGGCGAATTGACAACTTGCGAGACGACTGCTGTTACAAAAATAAATTGAATTACGGTATAATTTATTTTCTTCAGACAGGATCTGTGTGAGGAGAAGGCTTACAGAAACGCTTTGAGGAAGAAGACTGTTGTTCCCTATTTCCATCTCGAGAATCTTCCACTGTTCGAGGTGACGTAAGTTTCAAAGCTTTGCACTTTATTTTTATTGTAACAATCTGTTTTGTACTCTAGAGTCTCCTACACCAAGAAATGCAAGAACCCAGGCAGAGCCAAGTTCCTCCTGTGTTACAGAAACCTGAAAATGAGAGTAAAGAAAAGCCTAAGAAAACACCATGTATGTTTGAGTGAACTAGTGACTAATGTCTGGCCTGAATAATAAAAATACTTACTTTTAAATTCAGCTCCAAAACCCATGAAGTCAAAAGCCACGTTAACACCAAGGTGCAGACAATTTCCCACAATTCCACACATTTTAGCTTGTTAAACAGTGGCAAAAGATCATACTGTTATTTCTCAGCTCAACAGCCTTGAAGACTGCTGCTAAATCCCCCTCTGACTCTCCTCATCCGACCGCAGGTTAGTTTTGACCTCAGGAATCGCTCTCATTGTAACGAGGTAATTAACCTTAGTCCCCTTATTTTAATTCTTCTGAAATCACTGAAGGACACGCTTCGGCTTAAATTAAGACAAACAAGCTGCAAGTAAACTGTTGGCGAATATGCTACACTAGAACTGTTACTGTGCATGTGTTTTAGCAGCTAAGATGTTGTTGCAAATGTTTGATTTAAATTATTAAAATTATCTCTGACAGCGCTATCTATTTTTCTAGAAGTGGATTTGGATAGGTCTGTAAAAATATATTATACAAACATTTGCAAACTAACATTGAATTAAGTAAGCAGGTCAGAATTTTGTGCCATCCTATAATTTTACTCAATCATATGATGGATTGGGGTGTTCAAATGTTTTGTAAGAGGCCTAATTTAGTTCTCCAGACTTGTCCAGGCGCTGAGAGAGTGCATTATACAACTATTTTGACTGAAGTCAGGCTTTAAAATGGGGTTTGATACGTCCATCTTGATTCACATCACACATTAGCACCATAAATGGAAATATGTGACACATATTAAAAAGTTAATTGCTGAATTCCAAAGCTTATTTCTTTACAACGAGGTACAGCATGACTATTTTGGTGGAGCTGAGGTTGGGTTAGCGTCAGAGGGCCATATGAAATTACACAAAAGTTTGGCTATAGATCGACCGAAGGAGTTGATCTATAGCTTAGGTAAGAGCAAAGGTGAATAGACCAGTTGAGCAGTAATCTGGAGCCAAACGTATGCAACTGTGGTAGAAAGAGCAGCACCGATCTGTCCCTGCATGTGCCATTCGCTTGTTATAGTTGGATTTGGGGACAGAAGGCATCGGATTGGTCAGTTGTGTGGAGGGATTGGAAGTTAACACTATTTGAACTCTGAATATTGTAAAGCGCTTTGGGTGAACTTGGTCTGTAAAATTCACTATAACATTACTTACTTACATCTGGATTTACAAAGACCATATCGGTATCAACAACGAAAGTGGCTTGGAGCATAATTTTGCCCATAAGCTTTTCATTTGGATTCATTGCGTTTACTTTTAGTTTTGAATGCACTGGAAAGTCTGGAAACTGCAAGTCCTAAGTAGCTCTGAAACAGTTGTTTTGTGCTTTTGATTTTTTTGATTTATTGCTTTTTTCAACCTGAGATGTTGGTGCAGTACAGTGTTCATGGTTTTGCACTGGTCCAGACTGGAGCGGAGAGGAATTATGGTCCGTACCAAGCGGATCAGGTGAAATTGCTAACTTTTTGAAAAATGCTAATGAATGCTCTGCTACTGTGACCCGTCCTGCTCCACCCAGAGGCTACTCCTCCTCTTCTGCTGTGACCTGAAGGGCTGGTTCTGATTTTTACAATTTTTACTTTTTAGAATGATCAATTTTAATTTTGCCATTACTGGACACCTGAATTTCTTCTTCAGGGATCAGTAAAGTATCTTTCTATCTATCTAGCCTTGTTCATCTACAGAAGGGGTCTCCAAAGCCGTCCAGAAAGCGCTTGTGTGGCTGCGGTTTTCTCTCAAACCAAGCAGGAGAAGAACAGACATCAGCCATTTCCTCAAACGAGTTCAGTAAACCTGAAGAAATGGGTGGTGTCTTCTCTGCTCCTGCTTGGTCTGATAGAAAACCTGCAGCCACACCGGCCTTTTCTTGACTGCTTTGGAGACCCTTTCCTACAGTATGGAATGGACACAACCCATAGTTGTAATGAATCTGTTCTTTCCTCAGCTCAAAGTATGAAGACGTCTGTTCTGTACAAATCTGTGGATGTGGATGTTACTGGCCAACCCAGAAAATCTAAAGTCAGATTGCCAACTTGTATCAAGACCACAAAACCCAGTTGTGTCCCCAACCAGCAGGTAAAACACTCAACCAAAACCTCTTGTGCGAGGTTCTCTTGCACAAAACCAACATCCTCCTAGTTTCTGTCTGTAGAGGAGCCAGTGAGGAGAAAGTGTCGCACCATTTCTCTCACAAACTCAAACTGCATAGTGAGGGGCTTCCACCTCCACCCACCGAGAGTGGACTTTGGCCCAGTGCTGCATGGGTCTACGTCCTCCGTCACAGTGGTCATGAAAAATGTTGGCGTGGATACCTGCAGGTCAGTGTATACTAGTAACCAGTCTATACAGTCTATACATAAGTATATATTCATGGGAACTCATTTTTTACTTTTTTAGATTCAATATCAAACCACCTCCTCCTTCTTCAGGCCTTCGTGTGGTCTACAATCCTGGCCCCGTAAGCCTGCACTAAAACAGCTCTGTCTGCACATGTTCCTGGACTTTATCATCTATGGTTTCCTTAGGTGGCGGCTGGTTTGCATGTTGAGTTAGAAATCCAGTTGCTTGCCTTGTTGTCTGTCCAAACGGGAGGAAATACCACTGGAAAATCTCTCTCTCAAGACATCACCATCCACACTGAGACTGACATCATCTACCTGCCCATCACTGCGAATATCCTTTCACAATCATAATAATCATAATAACCATTGTATTTATATGATGCCTTTCAGGGAAAGCTATAATGTGGTTGTCAATATCAGTTATTAATAATTTGAGTTGTTTCTTTATTGATCCGTTCACAAATAACCTTTTTTTGTAGTGTAACATGTATGCTGATTTACTACCAGTGCATTCAATTTTCCTTAATGGAATTTACCCATCCTTTCAGAGAGACAATATGAGCTCTGGAGACAGGAGCACTGTGTGGGAATCAGGAGAGCCCCCAGGACGTCCAAGCAGTCCAACAGTACCACACTGTCAGACTCATAAACGCTCACTTTGCACCATAGTGTCAATGCACTCTTGTTTTGTGCTTTAGGTTTGCAACAAATGGATCACAACAATATAAATAACATTTCCAAAATTAGTTCTTGTCTATTTGTTCTTGTTTTCCAAGTCGTTGGGACATTTCTGTATCTTCACATCGTCTCTACTCGTGTGAATAGTGTGCGCGTGCTCGCGGGATGTTGGTATGTGACGTCATTAGGGGGAGATGCGGGCTTCGCCAAGTTGTTGATAAGATATAGAAGACTCTGACACACGCAGGACCGTAACTGAGGTTGTCTCTGGCTTTAGCCACAGGACGCAACTGGCACGCGCGTCTCTACAGCGGGTTTCCTCACGTTGACGCGCACGCGCCTGCTCCCTGTGCTCGCTGACTCGCACGCGCCTGCTCCTGGTGCTCGCTCTGTCCGGAGCACGGTCCTGGGTTTCATGTTGCGGAGGCTTGTGTCTGAAGCTGCGTGATGGAGAGGAGCCATCAGCTCTGACGCACTGACGGAGACAGAGGAGACCGCGCTGAACCAGAGGACGAGGCTTGTGAGCCGCAGGCCCCGCCATGCTGAACCCGGATCGCCACTTGCGGCGGATGGGGTGAAGAGCCCGGCTCCGGGAGCTCCTCTGGACCTGTACCGGGGACGGAGCTGCCTCCGCCCGCTGCTCCGAGGACAAGACGCGGCCTCGTCCCTCCTCCGCCACAGGAAACATGCAGACAGAGGAGGACACGGCCGCCGCACAAGAGCCCATTTTGGAGGAAGGCTCAGGACGAGAGCAGGTACGAAGGACATTTTATTACCATCACATCCACACTCGTGATAACTGCTGCATCATGCATTCTGCAAAGTCTAATAGAATTCCCATGATGTTATTGTGGAGATTTACTAATGTAACAAAGTGCTTCGTCTGCGGGGGTCGCGCTGTCAAAACACAGTCACGTTTTCACTTGTCTAAGCGCAAGGACACTCCGGACTTTGGGCCGTTTGTAACGAGACCTGAGCTCAGACTGAAGAAGGACTACTACAGCTCATCTGATCCATTACATGCTCACTACTGCTCTTTTGATTAGAGTCACTCAAACACCTTACGGTGTCTTTCAAACGGTGGATGTTCTAGCATGAACCTTAACCTTTGGGTTCAAAGATTTTAAATATTATAAGACTATACAGATAGTCACAGTGTATGAGAAGCACAATAACTTTTATTATGGAAACATGCACTCACAGATGAATAATATTCTCATCTTGGATTAGATGACACAGCATAGGAGTAAAAAGCGTCAGATAACCACATGGTTAAGACAGGATGTGGGCTCTGGCCTGATCCACACTATCATTGATAATAGCACCATACTTAACGTGATTTTCCCCATGTCTCTCTGTGTCTATCTAGACATGTACAAATAACTAGTCCAGTAAATAATCAAATGGTTCAATAAAATGTAATGCATCATCAAGTGCATTTTGTGGTCAATGAAGATGTCTTTTTTTCATTTTTGATAACATTTCACATAAATACAATGCTGTACAATAAACAGAATTGCGTTGACAGTGACACAGCAAATCTCACATTGAATGTTTGCAGTAATAGCTCAGACTTGTTAAAGTCAGGGGTTCATACAAGTGTGGCCAGCCATGACTCTGTAAAATATTCCCTTTTCTGGTATAGCTAGAAAAGATTCCCTAAGTGTATGTGTTGGGAGGTGATATGTGGCTTTCGACTGCTTATAATTCATTTTGTATCAATGTGCATGTTAGCTTTCATAAACTTTCACGGTGTTTCAAATAAACAAAACCTATTTTTTAAACAGATCCGTACCTTATATTTAGTTGATTCCAAAAATTCAAACAGGGAAAAAAAATCTCGTACTCAATCTCGGTTTAGTTCTCAGCCTCGGGACTCACACACAACTCGCACTGCAGGTTTTACCCAGCAAAAAGCCCAGCCCAGTCAAATCCTACCCTAACATAACAACGTTCAATTCAAATCAATTAATTTATTATTTTATAGCCCTAAGTCACAACAGTAGTTATCTCAAAGGACTTCACCATCAGAGAATCAAACAGTTCAAACACAAGAAATACAATGATAAAAGTCACATCGAGCCATTGGCCCATAAGTGACAGATGATCCATGTCCATGAATGAGTTTGAATGTCAAGTGTCCTGAATCATCACCCCTGTCCTCAGACCCTCCTGCATCAGCAAGGAAATATCTAAACAAATAAAAACCGAGGGAAAAAGTAAGAAACCTTAGGGAGTCCCAAAATGAGAGAGGGATCCGCTCCCATGGCCGGACGGGTTATAGATCCAGGACTCAGGCTGCAGAACGAGGACTGGGAAAACTAGGAAATTGCCTTTGCTCGGTGCAACAGTCAAAGAAGAGAGGTAAAAATAGAGTAAGGAATAATAAAAAATTAGCATACACATCTAAGGTATAAAGATGAAAACTATTACTACTATAACGACTATAAATAATATACAAATGCACATGGTGCACACAATATGCAGTAGGCAGAGCAATAAGCTGACAGCAGTAAAATGACTTTATAAATGGCAGTAAAGTTTCTTTATAAAGGGCAGGTAAAGTGACTTTATAAGGGCGGGGGGACAGGTTATGAAGTGTTCAAGAGTCCAACATCAGAGCAGAAGAAACTGTTCTTATAGCGGGATGTTCTGCTTCAAATGGACCGTAGCCTCCTGGGGTGAGAGGGGTCGGCTGTGATACGACCAGCCCGGCCTCGAGCTCAGGCGACGTACAGGTCCTGCAGTGATGGAAGGCTGCGACCGATCACTTCCTCTGCAGAGCGCACAATGCGCTGTAGTCTCTGTTTGTCCCTGACTGTGGCTCCAGCGAACCACACGGTGATGGAGGAGGTGAGGATGGACTCGATGATGGCCGTGTAGAACTGCACCAACATCTGTGCAGGCAGCTTGGTTTTTCTGAGCTGCTGCAGGAAGTACATCCTCTACTGGGCCTTCTTGATGAGGGAGCTGATGGTCGGCTCCCACTTGAGGTCCTGGGTGATGGTGGTGCCCAGGAAACGGAAGGACTCCACAGAGGTGATGGGGGAGTCCATCAGGGACTGTGCTCTTCCTGAAGTCCACGATCATCTCCACTGTCTTCTGGGCGTTCAGCTCCAGGTTGTTACCATTGCACCAGGACACCAGCCGGTCCACCTCCCTCCTGTAGGCGGACTCATCGTTGCTGGTGATGAGTTCAGTGAGGGTGATGTCGTCCGCGAACTTGATGAGCTTCACGTAGTCGTAGCTGGAGGTGCAGTGGTTGGTGTACAGGGAGAAGAGCAGGGGAGAAATAATGGGGCTCCTGTATTTATAATCCGAGAGTCAGAGACACGCTCTGCTTCCTTTCTGGCAGTAAGTCACTGATCCACCTGCAGGTGGAATTGGGCACGCTGAGCTCAAGCCCCAGCGATCCAAGATGGCGCCCTGTTCAAATGAATGGTTGTGCTCAGTGGCGCTTTGTGACGGCATGGGGGCTGAAAGATTAGCGGAAGTTGCCTGAAACTCGCAAAGATCTATGGGAAACTCGCCTGTATTTTGGCATCGTCTGGTCCTCCCGGTTCTGCGCAGTGGATGATCTCCCATAATGCGTTGCGCCAAACACGCGTGTGTTGGTCTCACACCGGGTCTCACGCACGTGCACAGAGGGGCTCGGTTGCACTCTGACCAATCAGAGCAGTTCATCAAAGCGGGAGTTAGAGCGAGAGCCAGACGAGCAGAGTTTGTGGCACTAAAGTGTGGATTTAAACAAAACCGAACGATTTAAGAAGAAAAAAAGTTCAGGATGACAAGGGACACTAAAATCCCCACAAAATCCGACCTTTATGAAAGCTGTAGGTTCTCTGTCAGCTGAGGTTGAGCTGTTTTAATATGCATTGAGTTCTATGGGGAAAATTTCTGGGTAGCCCACGTGAATTTAGTCTGGTTCAGTCTGCAGTACCGCGAGAATCCCCTGAGCACATGAGTTATTCAGCTACAAGCTAGTAATACCCTATCCAGTTAATATAATAGATCCATGGTTGAGCTGGGAGAGCTTGTCCTGGAGCAGGGATAGCAGGATGGTGTTGTTGGTGTTGGCCATGCGGTGCAGGACTATAGAACGATGACCAAGGCCATGCGGTTGTAGGGCTGGTTGGACCATGGGTAGGGCTGGAATAAACGATTATTTTTAAACGATTAATCTAGCGATTATTTTTTTGATGCATCGATTAATCTAACTATACATTTTTCAGTTCGATTCAATTCGATTATCTCCACATTAATTGACTAATAGCAATGTATATATTGGGTGTTGTGTGTTGATTTACATATCTGAATAAAAAAAACATGAATTCCATAACAAAATATATTTATTGCTCTTAAAATTAAAAAAATAAGACATTCTTAGTCAAAGGTAGCATAAAACCTTGAAGCCTTGAAAATACATCTAGCTTACTACTTCTTTCAGATGAAAATAACACTTGATGTTTAGCATTCAATAGAATACAATAAAAAAGTTAAATAAAATACTTGTTTAGAGCAACTGAAAGAATACACTAACCAATGTAAACTTGAGGGCTTTAAGCTAAAGAGAGAGTGCTTTTCTAGCATTAGAATTCAATAGCTATGTTGAACATAGGCCTAGCTTACTGAAAAAATCCTCTTCATTCACAAATAACAACTTAAGAATACTGACTGTCTCTTTGTGTGCTTGTGAACATGTTTGTGTTGTCATTCTCCAGTGACTAAACTAGCACAGCTAGCATGTAGCGTAGCTAGCATGTTCGCCGATGCGGAAATACCGTCTAATAATTAAATAAACGGATGGTGCATCTCCGTAAACACATACTGCTGTTATATAAAGTCTCTGGAAAGTCTCTGGACACAGAGCCGCTTCAGAGCTGCAGTAGTGGAGAAGAACTTCATACAAAAATCCGCTAGCTAAACGCCGCTAGCCCGGGACCACTAGTCTGAACACCCCAAGCCTCTGTAATTTAGAGAATGTGCGTCTATACTGCGCGGTCTGAACGCCCCATACTCACGTACTACTGCTACTACTCGCTGCCATCTTTGTTTTGAGTATGACAAACTGACGCGCATATTTTGTATCGATGTATTTTTTGCCTCAACGTCATCGATTACGTTGGTGGAGAGACAGGGCCCGCTTGAGGTAGGATGGTAAGAGCCATGCATCCGGAGCAGGAGGAAATGGAGTCAGCGCGGGAATCCGAAAGTGCGGATACCAGTAAATCAATGGAACACAAAAAGAAGAGGAAAAAGAAAAGTGTATCGAGTGAATCTGGTCAGTCAAGCGTGGGAGAGACATTTCCTGTGGGTATGACTGCGATAACCAAAAAAGATGGGATTTTCAGTGATCCGCACACATTAGGGAAGAGCATTGGTCGAAAGTTGGGAGGAAATTGTCCAGTCCGACTGACAAGATGTGGGATGGTTGACATTGAGTGTGCATCCCGAAGTCAAAATGAGAAAGCTTTAAAGATGGAAAAGTACAACAATGTGCTAGTTCGCTGTTTCTCACTGAGTGGGAAGAAGAGAGTGAAGGGAGTGATCAGTAGGGGTGGGAACCTAAGGGTACCTCACGATACGATACGATACACGATACAAAGCTCACGATAACGATATTACGATAACGATTTTATCACGATATGACGATTATTGATATATTGGTCAGAAATATACAATATGACAATTTATGGCATAAATAAAAGAAAAATTACTCTTTATTTCATGATAAATAGAATGGAGATGCGTAATG